CTAGCAGTATCACTCGAACTAGTCTAATAAAATCCTCACGTGACTGTTTTATAGATTTGTTTACATAGGTATGTCGATAAATGTTTTTGCAATAAAAACAAAACTCAACTTTCACAATATTGACAGTAATGCAAGCGCACCTGTGCTTAGCCCTAAGGTTTAAACTCGACTACCGGATGTTTGACTACTTGTTAAAAACACATAAAACAATTCCAATATTTTCATATATAATTTTTGTTTTAAAAAATATAAACAAATTATTTTTAGTCATAGCACATTTTATACTATCTTCCTGGTTTCGTAAGTTTGAAATGGTTGTCATAAAATATAAAATTTGTTGAAAATAAAAAAAAAATATATTAAACAAATTGTTTTTTAGTCATAACACATTTTTGTAATTTATAAATGGTTGCAATTGTGTTATCTCTGTCTGGAGGGCAGATGAAAATATACTCCCTGAATCCAAGAAATATGGCCACGAATTTACACCCCAGTACGTGCTGCCTCTATTATAAATGCAAGGCGTTTTCCAGTTTTCTGAGATTTCATACTTTTACTAACCCTGTATCTATAAATAGCACAACATGTCTAGTCAAAACAGAAAACCAAGTACCTTGTTACTTACTGTTATCAATATTAAGAAGTCCTAACTCGACCCCTTACTATAATACAATACGCTTTTGGGACATGGTTCAGCAATAGGTAACGATCGTCTGTGTGCGTGTTGGAGTGAAGAATATGGGGTTAGACCGACAACATATTAACGAAGGACTCTTGTGATTATTTAAAAATATGCAGCAATTATAATCAGTTTAAGCGCCACCACTTTGTGAACGGGAATTATCAACATAGTACAGTATTTACTACTATGCCCATATAAGGAAATGACCAAAGGTCGCGCATTCTTAAATAGGCGTGAACAGGCTATTCACCTGAGTGTTTTTTGTTCGACCAATCACAATTCTTACAATTCATTGGAATCCTCTCCTTTGACGATGAATGAAGCTCATAAGATAATGACGTCACCAAAAGGGCGAGACCTGTTTGTGCTTTGAGTAAACGAGACAGTATGTAGAAATGTTGATACACTAGTTTGGATTGACGCGAGCGAGAGTACACATATCCTGAAAGTTGTTACTGGTATCTGAGTACCCGTTCATCGAATCGAATCTATATCCAGGAAGACAATGGAACGTTTACTTAGGACCACACTCATACTATCGTGTCTGTTAGCGATTTTTCAAGGTAGCGTGTAATTTTCTTTCAATTCGCACTTTCACCAGACCACCCAGTACTTCACCGATTAGCCATGGTGCCATGGATGTGCGGTTTCCCGACACGGATCGCAATGGTGTGTGTATGTATTTGCGTGTGCACGTAGAGTGACTGTGGTATGTGTGTGTGTATACAGATTGTAAATTACTCATCTAAATTCTCCAAGCATGACTAAAACTCGTGCTCCGAGTGAGCGTAAGTGAATGATGTGGGAGGACTTTAGGTCAGTGTACTGTTTAAAGACTAATTTGCCTATGAAATACAGTCTAACAGTCGGTGTGATCAATCCATGGTCAATCATAGTGGATGTTTTGCATACGGGTTCCAAAAACACTGGAGCAGAGTCTCAAGGTTGCCAATTATGTCCTAGCGGTCAGACCAGTCTCCGGAACTGAAATTATCATGTCGGGTCATTGACCAAGGCTACATTCATTTGTCAAAACCGAGTGAATAGCTGCGAAAAAAAAATCTAAATGGCCCAGAGCACTTAATAGATTCACAACACCAACATCAAGGTGATGTCTGTGTAAGCACTGTCGTGCCTCGAGGACTTGGTGTAAACACAAGTGACTGTGGTGCAATGAAACGTTTCATCTAGACTATGTAATATACAATACTTTATTTTATATACTAGTAATAGTTTTGACACTAATGGGGCGGCGGGTGGGATAATTAATAACAATAAAATAATCTGACGTCATGTCACACCTGGCCGTCACAAATGATATACACCGCTATTTTCATTAATAGGAAAGCAGATAATGTAATACCTAGGACGGTGGACGGTATTATAGCCAACGTTTCAGTAAGTTTATTTGGGTTCGAGGCCTTGTGTGTGAGGTGAAGCCCCGACAGTTTCTCGTCGTAAATAACCAGCAATAGACCACTTGTGTATGTTGCGCCATCTATCGACGATGCGTGTGTGTGTGTGGCGTAAATGTCTGTATATTGCGGCATCCATATTGTTTTGATCTGCTACCGTCTGTAAACAAAATCTTGTTTTTTTTTATATAAATATTTGCAGTATTCTGTAACGTCATTACACCCACTCTGACGTCAGAGAAGCGTGCTGTTGATAGAGGGCGCGACTAATGGGCAAACTTTACACTATTGGCTAACAACACTTGGATTTGTAGCCCAACAAAAATGGAGCGTCGTTCAAACCATGATCACACGTGACACATTTGAAAGTTCGATGAAAATTTTAACTTGTTAGCTATGTCCCATGTCTCCATTTTATATTAGTTTTAGACGACAGTGACGGCGGTACGGGGGGCAGAGGGGGCAGTCACCCCCTCGAAAAAAATGTTCAGGGCGTCGCCTCTCCAAAAAGCTGAAACCCTTTGTGTCGGCAAAATTTGCCCCTCAAAATGCAGGAAATAGCGTTTCTGAGTGTCTAGATTTCAGAATATTTATGGGGGAGCATGCCCGGACCCCCCAGTAAAGCTTTTCACCTCCCGTGCACAATTTCTGTACAGACAGTTTAGAACAATATGTGACTGTTGAATTGTAGTTGAAACGTGTAAGTATTCTTCATACACAGGTCTGTTCTGCAACGGCGCCCTCACCGTGTTGGTCGATAACGACAAAATTGGTTACATTGGCCAGACGGAGCTTACGCTCTACTGCAGTTATAGCGGCGGCCCTGATACTCCGGACACGGTGACCATTGAATGGCACAAGGCTGACGATACTTTGGAAAGTGGCTGGCATTTGGTGGCCCGAGGCGGAGACGGCACCGGTGTTGTTCATACAGTTACAGACGATGACAAGTAAGAGACGTTCTGTTTTTCTTTGAATATGTAAGAAATGAAAAAGGTGAATGTTAGTGTGCCATCAACGACAGACATATGATTAGCATCAGCGGGAACCAGCCAACCAAATGACGACCTTCCTTTCACTCATTACGTCATATGAGTACTTTGTCACTAGAGGGCGCCACTAAAAAGATGGTAAATCAGTGTTTGAGTGGAATCGATACTAAGTTACCTAGCGGGAGTGGAATGGACACTATCATGACAAAACTATTAAACTTAATAAACTAACAAACATGTTTATTTATATTTTTCGTAATTACTTCCATAGATACGAACTGATGTTGGCAACGCTAAAAATTCTCTCACTGGACGAGGCTGATACTGGAAGGTACAGGTGTTCAGTAACCGTTGAATATCCGAGGGAGTCGGCGGAGGGCGCTCTAAGCCTGAATGTCATCGACGGAAGTAACCAGCCACAGCCCACAACAGGTGCCGAGGGAACATCTGGAAATCAGGTTGTCGACGATAATGGTGGCACCGCTCGGGGGAAACCCACAAACATTTTACTTGTTTTTAGTGCTCTGTTACTGTGCCGTTATCTTTTGTAAATTTGACATATATGACATGAATTTTGCCTGAATCCCGTGGCAAACTATTTACTGAAATTGATTACAAACATTGCGTACCGAAATATATCGTCTGCCGGGTTTTCCCGCCAATCACTCTTGTTTGTTTTGTAAATGAAAATTTCGAGAGTTGTTATCACATACAACGTAGCATTGCGCCACCGTTTCTCTGAAACCTCAGCCCAGATATATAATATTTTAATTTTATTTCGGTGTTTAAATTAAATAACTCGAATAACCGGGACTTTTGCCAGAACTGATCAAAAGTCACATGGTCGTTTTATAAATGTTAAAGGGGAACAAAATAGAGCCTATTTTGGTGTTTGTATTTATCAAGTTATGTATATTGATAATAAATTTGAAAAAAAAAATGAAAAAAAAATGATTATCTTCAGAGTTATGATACTAATACTAATACTAAAACGTCATAGCTTTGAAAAGTACCCGGATGTTAAATATGTTCGTTCGTTAATTATTCCCCTCCATGAATGGCCTCCATGGCAAGCACTTCAAATGCCTATCCAAGCTACAGTTATAATTAAAACAAAATTAAACCACTGCAATATTATTTCGAATACAGTTTAGAATATACACAACTATAAATTAAGGCCGCATTTAGGTTCGCTTTAATTATGACCTCGCATCAAGTTATTGTCTCTAATTTCCTCCAGTGTGTGAGTGCAGATCATAACAAAAAGCGACACTTTCCAACATTTTTTTTTTATTTCGATTCACAGTTTACTTACTGATTCTTTTTTCTATTTCGGAATAATAAATCAGTTACTGGCCTTGGCTTTGGCCAATGTCAAAATTATCTTTCCCCATGTGACTGTTGTTGGTCTCTTCCTTCGGCGTCGAGCAATCACAACCAACTGGGGTCGATAATTCATCATATAACCGTATAACGTCTACCATTCTTCAGACATGCGCAGTTACATCGCTCTTGAAAAAGCGATGAACTTAAGTATATTTTGTTTTGTTTTTATTTTTGTATTTAGAAAAATACACCTTCGTGATATTAGGTAGTATCAAATCTGAATTATGTTTAAAAATGTGAATTACAGTAAGAAATAATGTTTTTTTTTTTAAATGCATGTTTGTGTTTATATTTAACTGTTACATTTTTCGCTTGAATTAAAAATATGAATCAACTATTTTGCATTAAGACCAATGCATGATGGTTAAAGGTTTTCATTAGGAAAATAGACTTTTAATTTGGAATTACGTGACGATATTTAAAACTCCATGAATTGACATGACGATCGGGATTGTTGGCGCCAATTTGTCTCATTCATTCAGTGGATTAATTGAGAAACGCCTTTCACCAATTCCATGAAAAAACCTTATCAAAAAAAGTTCAATGAGTTTCATTAAGAAAACTACCGGTATGAAATTGGTAGAGTATAAACATAGGTAAACACCGCACAGAAGATTATGTCTACTGCGCCCTCTTGAGAGACTATAATTCTATAATTACTACTATAATTCTGTGTTATTAGGAACGTATTTGTATTGAAAACATC